CAACCCAGTTCCTCATGGCTGTGCATGGTGGGAGGACACGAGGCAGCTGGCATAAGCCAAAACTAGGCAGGTTCCTACTGAATATAAGGAAAATCTTCTTCATTGTGAGGGCATCCACACAGTCGACCAGATTGCTCAGAGAGGTTTGTGGAGGCTCCACCTGTGAAGGTTTTGAAGACCTATCTGGAGCAACTTGGTCTGACCCCAGAGCTGACCGTGGTCTGAGCAGGTTGGACTGGAGACCTCTCACAATCTCTTCCAACCTGAATTAGCCTCTCCTTTTGCCAAAAAACCCACAACCCTCCACCACACTGTGCTGCAGAAAAGTGTCTTAGAGTAGTTTTGGATCGACTGTATGCATTGAGGTTGTTACATTTACTATCAGGACTTCTATGATAAGCATGCTAAGAGTATGTATTGACCCCTGTCTTAAAAGCAGAATTCAGGACCAGAACAAAATGGCTGTGGATGCATTAGTTGATTCTCAATTTAAGAGATAAAAGAAACATTGTTTTGCCTTTTTTTTTAAATTCAGACATGTTATTTTTATGAAGGCTAAAGGTAATTCTAGAAAGTAAAAACTAATTCATTATTATGCATAAGCAATTTCCAACTTGGGCCGGGATGAATTATTATTATTGTTACTATTGACAGCAATAATAAAATATTGAAGGAAACTGTGGATTTATCAAGTATTCAGGCAGAGATGTGGTCATACAACTCGTAGACGGAAAGTGTCTTCTTCGTATTTGAATATGCAAAGTTTTGCACCTCATTTTGCTTATTTTGAAATTATAATTCTTAGCATATACCTAGCTTTTTAATATACTCCAGTCTGTGGGCTGTCTTGTACCACTGATTTTAGGCGAACTACCTGTTGTTCTTACTAGGGAAATCTATTGATTTTTTTTTTAAAAAGTCAACAGTGTGGCACAGCTTGTTAAGGGATGTGGATATGATATTAAGCCAGTTGGGTAGCAGCTCCCAAGCCCGTTGGCCCTGCAGATACGGAGCCTCTTGTTGCTGTGCCTGGGTGATGGGCACTGGAGTCCTTTGAGTTCCCAGCTCCTTGGTGCATTCTTTCCCTCTCCCACTTCTTTCATAGAATCAGAGCATGTCAGGGGTTGGAAGGGACCTCTAGAGATCATCTAGTCCAACCCCCTGCCAGAGCAGGATCCCCTAGGGCAGCCACACAGGAACGTGTCCAGGCAGGTTTTGTAAGGCTCCAGAGAAGGAGACTCCACAACCTCTCTGGGCAGCCTGTGCCAGGGCTCTGTCACCCTCACAGTGAAGAAATTTCTCCTCATGTTGCGGTGGAACTTGCTATGTTCTAACTTAAACCTATTGCTGGGCACCACTGAGAAGAGATTGTCCCCTTCCTCTTGACACCCACCCCTCAGATATTTATATACGTTAAGAAGATCCCCTCTCAGCCATCACCTTTCAAGGCTAAACAATCCCAGTTCTCTCAGTCAGTTCTTTACTGGAATGAAGCCTGTGGCACACCCCTGACGCGAGCCTCAGCATGTTCCCAGTCTGGATAATTAGCAGCAGAAAAAGTAGTTTTTCTACTAAAACTTTCCATTACCCGCCTGAAATGTGGCATTGGGCTAGGCTAGTTGCAGAGGGCAAAGGAAGAGAAATGAAAGGTCAGAGGTAGGTACCATCTTTGCAGGACGAGGGGTGCGAGAGAGTGCTGAGAATCTAATCTGATGTCTGGTCATTGTTACTATTCATTGCAGATAAGGAGACGGCTCATTGAAAGTGATTTTTTCGGGTGAACTCACATGGGAAGTGCATCACAGCTTATGATGTGCTTGTTGATAACCTTCGCTTCACAGGTGACAGGAGTTTCTAGGGACCGAGTTTCAAACCAATCTGTCTGCGCCCTCGGTTTCAGGACTCTGACTCATATGTGAGAGCAGGTTAAAATTTGTATGAAGCAATTATTTTCCCTGCTGCCTGCCTCATCCTGCAGTTTGTGCTGCCATATGCCGGAGCGGGGGGTGAATGTCTGCGGAGGAGCTCCTCAACTGCGATAGTTTTAAGAGCTGTAACCAACCAACTCCAGAGGCTTCATACTGATGCGTCCTAAAGTTAAAGCACTCAGTTTTGTCTCTGTACGTGTTACGAGGTGGCCTGCTAGCATAGTGGGGTTTTTTGCAAGAATCCAAAGTGGGCTCTTCCTGTAGATGTTGACTCGCACAATATGTTGAATACTCCTGCATGTTGTGTACAGTTGTCTGTTCTGATGTCTGGTTGACGTGTGTTGTCATCTCAGTTGGACTTCATATTTGATTTTATAATAAAACAATCCAGGATCTCGTTTGACTGAGACGACACTAAAAAAATGCATTTTTGTTCTTGCAACAATCAGTACTTGGCAATCAGCCTGGTTCCTCTTTGAAATTAATCTCATCAGGAGTTCACAGGGATATAGAGCATTTGTTAAAAAAGGTAAGAAAAGTTGCTTATAGGCATTTTCCTGCAACTGCTGTAGGTCCAAAAAGTGAAAGCTGGTCTCAGAATTTATTTAATGTTGGTAGCTAGGGCTGGATTAATTTGCTCACTATTTTCAGTGCTCATTCCACTGCGGTTTATTTTGGGTCATTTAATTTCAACAAGGCTTGATCTGTTTACAGCGCTTTCTATAGTAGCGTGACAGGGCCACACAGCTCTTTTATAGTATGTTCATTGCTAACCAGGAGCTCAAAAAACTAGTAAATGAGGCACAGACATGAGGACAGTACATTTTTGTATGGTAGGATTATTTTGGAAAGTTTTCTGAAATAACCAATCTTTTGTGCACTGTGGGTTGCTTTGCAGAGCCTGAAGTGATGGTATAGAGTAGCTGTGTGCTTTCAGAGGTGGGGAGTGGAGGGCTTGCTGAAGGCACTCCAAGGCTTAAGGTACTTCAGAAGCCACCGTGGTTGAGAGTTTCTTTCAGCCTTTGTTTGAGGAGCACTTTTGTTTCCATAGGTAGCTCTTTCCAGCACCCAAAGGAGTTCGATTTAATTTTGCTGGTTTAATTCTCAGATTTGCTGTATAAACCGTTCATAAACAAAAGAAGTTAGGGTTAAATAGGTCTCAGGTAAGAACGTCTTCGTCGGCCTCGTCAGCCAACACAAAAGCGTTTGCTCATTGCCTGCGCTGAGCGTGCTCAAGTTTAACATTATAAAGGCCTTGTTCACCTCCGAATGGAAGAGGCAGCCTTCTTCTATGTTCGTGAAATCATGACCGTCAAATTGTTTCTGCTTCTGCTCATGCCAGCTGACAACGTAAAGTTCCTTTTGTGAACTTCATTAAAGCAGCGTTAGTGGCTAGCGCAACAGAAATCAGAAGGAAGGCATGATGTCCTGAAATTGACTGCATCTGTACTAGCAGGTTAAAACAGCACCAAGAAGTGTCCCTGACCACCAAGACCACTTTTCTGTTAAATTTTTGTCTTTCTTGAACTCTTCTGGCCTCTGCTGTTTATCACGTTCCTGGGCAGTGACCAGGCGCAGTTCAGGAAAGGGTTGTTCTCGATAGTTGAGTATTGTGGAAATAGCTGCTTGCATTCTCAGCAGGCTCCGTGCAGAAGAACCTTCCTGAACTATGTTTAACTCACTCCTGTATAGGTAGTTCTTACATCCGCATAGCAGATTAGAGTCAGAATCAGCAGTGTTTTGGTGCCTGAGCAACGAGGGTAACATAACACTGTTGTTCTGGGACTTTTGAAGTGTATTGAAGGTTTTGTGGCTCTGTTGTGCATATACATTCACAGAGTTGGTGTACGTGAGTACTGTATGATGTTCTTGCATAAGGGATCTTAATGTTTTCTTGGCTATCTTAATGTTTTCTTGGTTGTAGGAAGATACTCCTTCTTGGCCACAAATCGGAAAGCCCTTATGCCAGTGAATGGAAAGCTTAAAAAGCACTTTTTAAAAACATCTCAGTTTGGAGACTTACCATCTACAAATTGAGTGTGTCAAATGCAATTTGACACATGCTCTAGGTCCTCTGGTCACAGCTCTTAAAATTTTGTGACTGTAGGGTGTGTCGTTGAGAAGCTTCTGATCTCAGCAGGTCCTGCCCTGCAGCTGCACAACCTGCTGGTGCACCCGACGATCTCTGTTTCGGGGAAACTTATCAGCACGCCTTAGGCTGCTCTACTCACATTTTAGTCAGCATGTACTGCTTGTGGAGGTGTGCTCCATGTCCATCTCCTCCAGCACAAGCCACCTCAGAGGTGATTGCCCACCCATATTTTTGTTGGCTCTTATTGTCTTGCAGCTGTCTAAAAACTCCTGCTTTGAGGTTGATGGGGAGCTCTCCTTTTGCTGTGTACCTTCAGATTTAGGTCCATGTGCTGCTTCTAAATTTAGGCTGCGAAAGTACCAGATTGACTTCTATTCTTTTATACTTGAGTGGAAATGGTTCAAAGTTGTGCTGATGTAATGAAAACAGGAGGCCAGAAGGCAGTCAAGTGGAATAAGGGTGAATATATGAGAGAAAACACAAACAGAAAGTGGCCACTTTAGATCTTTACTGCCCTGAACACACAATTATTTTAATATCATTTACTTAAAAACTGTGTTTCACTTAAAGAAGGCTTATATTTGTTACTCATAATGTAATGTCGTTTACAAAAAACGTTTATGTTATGGTAACACCAGATACTCTAGCCAAAATACCATGAGAGTTAGTTCAGGCAGTCTAGGTAATACTCAGAGTATTAATTTTATAGCAGTGATCTGTACTTAACAATGAAAATGCTGCCTCAAAGTCTTTCACTTTTTTTTTTCCCCCCCCTGTTGTTAATAGCCTTAACGATCAATCAGAGGTAGTGGACTGAGGCAGAGCTCAAAGCCATCAAATCCTCCCAGCCTGCTGCATAGTTCCCAGGAAACACCCTGTATTTCATTAGTTCTTGCTTGGTTTATGGTGTAATATTTTGCTCAAAGGCATTAAACTATCATCAAAAGCAGTGGACCAATTAGTGTGACTTATTTTTCCAGGGTCGTTGTACAAGGGAGAACTGCAAGTACCTTCATCCACCAACACATTTAAAAACTCAACTGGAAATCAATGGTAGGAACAACTTAATCCAACAAAAAACTGCAGCAGCAATGCTTGCCCAGCAGATGCAGTTCATGTTTCCAGGGACACCACTACAGCCAGTGGTAAGTATATTTCTCTGATGGTGTTAATGGTAAGTAAAGTTGAAGACTTTATTGACCTGCAAAAGTTCTCTAACCTAGTAACAATAAAAATAATGTACATCTGTTGACTTAAGGAGCTGCCAAGATGCTAGAGATACATTAATTTAAATTTGCATTTGAAGATATAATGGAGCATTGCTGTAGATTTGATAGACTTTTTTATCCCAGAATAATCTGCATTTCTTTTCATATCTTTTTTTTCCCCCTTCATTCAGTTCATGTCAGGTTTAGTCTTGTTTTGCAAGGTTTTTACCTATAATCTTTCTGGAGGTGAAAAATTGTGGAATAATAATAATAATTTGCTAGTAAGCTGTAGGAGTAGGAGCGCAGAGTTTCTCAGGAGTCTGTGGGTTTGAATGGCTTTAAATAGTATTTAATCTCAGTACCAGGAACAAAGGTTAATGACATTCTAGGTAACATTTTCTTACTCTCTTGAAATCTGAAGTGTCCCAGATTAAGATGGAGAATTGCTGGTGCATGCATCCACTTTACAAACTCAACATTTTCTCTTAAGGTAATGCATGTGTTGCCTGGGACACTTCAAATCCAGAAGGTGACATACAACTAGAGTCTTGCATGCATGAGCAGCATCTTCGGGTATATATTAAAATCATCAGTTGCTCTGGGCTGCCTTTGCACTTGAGCTCCTTGTTGTACCAGACTGCCAAAGCGTGGTTAGGGAAGTAATCTGAATTAAACTTTTCATACATGGCTGCTAATTATGTTTTCGCAATCTGAATGCCTAGTGTAAGGCATCCCACTGGAGAGGGATTTCTTTCTCTAACTTGAGGCATCTGGAGCGTTGGCATCAACTTCTGTGTTGGGCTTCCAAGGTCCATTTATAGTTTATCGAAAGACATGGGCACTTCTCATTACTATTTGCTTGGCGTGTTTCAGACGTCTGCATTTGGATTAAATGATTTGGTTTTTTTAAGTGCCTTTTTCTTTCTATGGACTATCACAGGAGACAAGTATAAGCATCTCAGAAGAAGACATCTGTATTTGGTCACAGGAAGCTCACCTCAGATGCTTTTTTCAAGCGTGTTTTTACACTTGTAATATCTGCTATAAGGTGGGAGGCACAAACGAAAATTGGGTGTCAGGAGTCCCTTAATTTCTGGTACATGTTCAAAAAAATGTACTTGGTATATTGGCATAATGGGTTTTGATTATTTTCTGGTTTTCTACTACTTGAGTTTTCACCAGAAAATAAGATTTGAAGCATCTCTTAGTATTATGAGAAAGATTGAAGGGGCAAAATTATACTTTTTCCCAGTCACCCATTTCATCATTTGAACTTTACAGTTTCATTGACGTAATGCCTTCTGTACTGATTGCTGTGATAGAAGTGCTGGGTTTTATTTCTCTGTCTCGCATAAATTGCCAGATTAAGATGACTCAGCCTTGACCAAATGGGTGAAAAGTGAAAGAAAATTCCACAGAAGTCATTTGACATGTGGATTTATTCTTAAAATTATATCTGATACAAAGCTGTTATTTATATTATACATAACACATACTGTCCTCCACATAGCTGAACCGTTGTTTCATTTAGATGTTGATTATTATGCTCTAAAGAATTTAGCTGGCACTTGACATATAAACTTGGCTGTTTGATATCAAGTAGTTTTGATCTCTGATAAAACCAGCATTATGCACTTTTAACTCTCAGGGGCAGGTAGATGCCATTTCTGTACAATTGAGTACCCTGGCTAATCTGCTGCTCAAAACATCTTCTTGGCACTAACCCACATTCATTTATAATTTAGTAATTGGTGCCAAAGACAAAAAAAAAACAAAATCAAAGCAAAACAGAAATAAATCTTCTAGCTCCTGTGCTTTCTCGTGAGTGTTTTCTACGTGCTGTGTGTGGCTGGCCTCCTTTCTCCAAGAGAGGCTGTGCAGGCCGCCTTCATGAGAAAGACACTTCTCCTTTGTTCAGTGTTTTTTAAGCCTTCCTTTAATTTTCAGTTGTTGTGTGGTTCATTTCTAGCTGCCAGCTTATTTGGGAACTTAATTTCTGACAAAACTGATCTGAGATGTGTCCCTTTTTCCTATGAGGTTTTTTCCTCGTTTATAGTTATAGCTTCACTCCCTGGGGTTAACGTCAGCCCTGCAGAACTAAAGCACTTTCCAGGTCTGGCCACGATGATGTTCCGCCTCCACCTCCCCATGGCGCTGGCGGTAACAAACCCACCATTCTGCCTTGGTAGGGCTGCGTTTTAGCATCACACAAGTGCTCTTTCTTCTGGTCATGACTTCACTGACTTGCTGTGGGAAGGCATGAAACAGATTTTTAGGCCCCATATCATTCCTTCCAATCAAATTTTTTCGTAATATGAACTCTAGCTAAGCCTGAATAATCCCTTTCTAAATATTGTGTCCAGCTGAGATTATAATATTTATTCTGCTTGCCACTAGTGACAGCTGAGCACACAAACATTCGCAAAGGTGAGGTTTCTCGATGTGTGCGCCTTAGTAACCTATAATTGCAGGAGGTGGCAAAATACAGCATGCAAACAGATGGAAGTAACATGCCAAAGAGCTCATTATATATAGTCTTATTAGAAATATGGTTTTAATATAGTTAATAACACTTCACCTATGAAATCTGGTAGTTAGAAAAATAGCCTGTTTTCCCAAGGAAAGCAGGTATTGCGAAAAAGCAGTAAAGTCTGTGTTACTTTTGCTTTTAGATGTGTAAATAAGCCTGCAATGTAAGCTGGACCTCCATAGAGATTCGGGTTCAAAGTACATCTTCATTTGCATCGGCAGCCTCTTTTCCAATAATAGAGCTACAAAGGCGGTTCTTCGTGTGCTGCTGGAATGTGTTACATGATTAAAACAAGAGAGCATGCCGTGTGTTTTGCCAGCTGTTTGGATTTTTTTTCATTAAGAAAATGAAAGAGCACCAGAAAGAACACGCGAAAGACGACTATGAAGCTCTCGATTAAGGGGCTGGGTTTTTTTCACCTTGATCTGTGTTTTCCTTTTGCAGCCCACATTTCCAGTGGGTCCCACAATAGGAACGAACACGGCTATTAGCTTTGCTCCTTACCTAACGCCAGTAACACCGGGAGTTGGCTTAGTCCCGACCGAGATCCTACCCACGCCGCCTGTCATTGTTCCTGGAAGTCCACCGGTTTCAGTCCCTGGTTCAACTGCTACCCAGAAACTCCTCAGGACTGATAAACTGGAGGTACTGTAGACACCGCCGTGACTAGAAATTCGATCTTCTATTAGGCTGTGTGAAAGCTCCTGGAGGGAAAAACTGTTGTTTCAGAAACGATGCTTAAATTTAGTTGCTCCGAATAAAGACCTTGTAGCCAGGCAGGACTCCTACACTTGGAGCCACTGGTAATTAAACACTGCTGATTTTAAGGTAGTGTGTTTGCTCAGATTTAGGACACAGACATCAACATGAATTTCCATTTTTTATGAAATTCATCTCCTCCAAAATACTTCACGTATAACATGCCTGTGAAGGTATGTCTCAATGAAATACCCAACAAGCACATTTTTATTGCAGTGTCAATTCTATGCCCTTTTTTATGCATTGACATTTGGGGAATGTTATGGCCTTATAGATCGATATTAGGAAATGGTAGAACCTTTCAGCCTTGAGCTACAGATGGAGGTGTCAAATGTTACCAGCCCTGCAGCAGGCTGAAGGAGCAAGTCCCCAGCTCTGCAGGGCCTCCCTGGTGTTGATGGATCTCTGCACGGCTGGGCTTAGCGGAATCCGTGATCCAAGTAAACGAGAAGGCCAAATTGCTCTTGCAGAAATACACGTCCTTTCCTGGAAGCCTAAGCACTGGTGTCCAGAGCATGTTTCTTTTTAGGAAAAATCAACATGTTCATTCTGCATGTTTTGGAAAATTATTTTTAAGAAGGCTCTCCGTTTAGTTTGTATAGAATCATAAAATTGTCAGGATTGGAAGGGACCTTAAAGATCATCTAGTTCCAACCCCACTGCCATGGGCAGGGACATCCCCCACTAGATCAGGCTGCTCAGAGCCCCATCCAGCCTGGCCTTAAAAACTTCCAGGGATGCGGCTTCCACCCCCTCTCTGGGCAACCTGTGCCAGTGTCTCACCACCCTCATGGGGAAGAACTTCTTCCTAATGTCCAATCTGAACCCATCCATCTCTAGCTTCAATCCATTCCCTCTAGTCCTGTCACTACCCCACATCCTAAAAAGCCCCTCACCAGCTTTCTTGTAGGCCCCCTTAAGATACTGGGAGGCCACACTAAGGTCTCCTTGGAGCCTTCTTTTCTCAGACTGAACAGCCCCAACTCTCTCAGTCTGTCTTCATAGGAGAGGTGCTCCAGCCCTCTAATCATCCTCGTGGCCCTTCTCAGGACACGCTCCAGCACGTCCATATCTTTCTTGTGCTGTGGGCTCCAGAACTGGATGCAGTACGCTAGGTGGGGTCTCACGAGAGGGAAGCAGAGGGGGTAGACTCTGTAAAAAATACAGTGTGTTTGATGCACATCTGTCCCGGGTCTCAGCAAGAAGTGATGCTGCAAGAATATAAAGTGTAGTTAGAAAGGGAGTGAATATTTTGCAGTTCCCAGCTAGTTTTGCAGAGGCAGTTACCTCAGTAAGTTACCTTCCCAGGTGTTTTCTAGACAGGAGAAAGGAAAGGCATTTGGGAATGCTTCTGTTGCATGTCAAGTTTATTTAGCCGCCATACCGCAGAGCTGCCTGAGGAGCCAAGCCCATGAGGGTAAAATAGATGCATTTCCCTCTCCCAGAAGAAGACAAAGGGTTTGTTGAGCTGAACTCACTGAAAAACTTGACCTAAAGCGGGGAAGGGGTCAGGTGTGTCGTTTGGGGGTGCGGGGCTCTCCCTGCCCTTCCGTGTTGCGCCGAGCTCTGCCCCTGCAACGCCATGTTGTTTTGCACGTAGGTGTGCAGGGAGTTCCAGCGGGGAAACTGTGCGCGTGGAGAGACTGATTGCCGCTTTGCGCATCCGGCAGACAGCACAATGATTGACACAAACGACAACACCGTAACCGTGTGTATGGATTACATAAAAGGTCGTTGCATGAGGGAGAAATGCAAGTATTTTCACCCTCCTGCACATTTGCAGGCCAAAATCAAAGCGGCGCAACACCAAGCCAACCAGGCTGCGGTGGCAGCCCAGGCAGCTGCAGCAGCTGCGACTGTGATGGTAAGTGCTGGCATATATGGCTGCCTTTTTTTGACAGAAGCTCTTTGATGCCTATTTTGCTTCAATTTAATGCTGTTTGCTTATACTTTCTTTTCTCTTTTGCCTCTTCTTCTTTTCTTTTCTTTTTTTTTGGTAAAAGATAAGAATTTATAAAATTATTACTGTTGCTTTATGGGAGGAAGCACTTTTTTTCTTTATGCCCTTATTTTAATGCTGTATTTCTAGCCAAGACAGTGAAGCAAATGACACTCTATACCACTTCTGTTCTCTGCCTCGATTATATGTTAAATTTACCCCTAGTATTTCCAAACAGAAATAGAACTGATAAGCCTCTATGTCCCCTGGAAAACAGGGGCACATGTGCTGTTTTAGCTCTTTGATGACAGATACACATGTGGAAATTTGGAAGAAAAGGAAGAAAAGCAAGGAGAGAGCTTTTGCCGTAGAGATCAGTAGTGGAAATGAAACCTGTAGTAAGATTCAACTTACTCCACCTTAGATGTCAGACATTTAGATATCTGAGCCTATCTTAGCCATCTTGATCTCCCTTTATAGGTAGTAGAGAAAAAACAGCACATTCATCCGATCTACTGTTAGTACCTTTCCAAGGACAAGGAAGAACTCCCCTCTATAGATACACATCTGTCGTTGACTAAGAAGTGTTGACTTTTTGAACATTGGTTAGATGAATCTCATGCCTAGAGACTTTTCTTGCCTCTCCCACTGCCATGGGCGAGTTACTTGAATCATGGGCTTTAAAAGTAGTAAACTAAAATGGGAGTTATTAAGAAAAAGCATAGAAACATAGTATCTATAGTCAGAAGAGACTGAGGACTTTCTCTTTTCAGATATTTTAAGCTCTTGCCTAAAACTATTCAGACCCATCAGTCCATCCATTTACCAGTATTGCATCTCTCTTACAGTTGCTTCCAGGAAACATGATAAATTTAAATAGAGTGGTATTGATAATGTTAAATAAATCAGGCATGCGGGATCTGACTTGGGAGAAAATTGCTGGCAGCAAATCAAAGAATCGTTGTCCTCATTGCTGGCAGTGGACGAATAATTAAGCAGATGTGGTTTGTGGACTTGTGGGCAGTGCATACAATAGTTACAGACAATGCAGTTATTCTCTGGGTAAAAAGCTTACCAGAAACACAATACAGTACAGTATATAACTACCCCAAGATATTGTATTTAGCAAATTAGCAAAGACCAGACTTTTTTAGGGAGAAAGGGTAAGATATGCAAGAAAGTAAGCCTGTGAGCAGAAGAGAGTTTCTTAAGTTTTAATATTCTTTTTCCTATAGTATCTCCAGCCTCTGTTTCAAATCAGATGATTTTTAGTTAAACTTCCCTGTGCTTACAGAAGTTGAATACTATCTGGATATTAAAGCAAAAGATTGGTTTTTTATTCCGATTAGCTTCTGTTGTGCAATGTTTATTGTCGATTTAGAGAATGTAATATTTCTAGGCAGTATACTAAAGAAGAAAGGAGAGAGCTGAGTGGATTCATTTTTCTGCACTTCAGTAGTGATTGGATATGTATCCTGTGATTTTAAATAAGCCATAATTGGAGTTGCATTAGCCTCAAAGTGAAATAAAAGTATCTTTGGAAACGCAGAATTGAAATTCTATCATTCTGATGCCACGTGAGAAGGCAGCAGGGACCTGTAATTCAGGGTAACTTTTTGCACAAAAATACATTAAAAATATTTTTACAACATACTTAAACTACCAAACAGAAAAGATGCTTCACAATCCAACTATTTTTTTTTTAATATAGCTTTGAAATAATGAGGTCAAGTGAATGAAAAATACCTGAGTGGCAATAAAAACAAAAAAATGATAGAAAAGGCATGCGCCTGCAAGGCCACTGAAGAACGACCAAGAATACTTAGTTGGATCTAGAGAGCAAAAGTAAGACAGAAATACAAATGCTTATCTGTACGATTCACTTGCTTACAGGTGGAAATTGTATCTGAGAGGTTTTCCTCCCTGGAGGAACTGCTCTGCATTGCTCTGGTTCAGAGGGTGCTCATACGGGTGAGCGTTGTGGGGAGGGTTAGAGCATTGTAGGCAAAGCTTGTAAGACTATTGAAGATCCATGAATTCTGCAGTCTGGGCCCTTTCAGAAAATGCCCTGTCTATTCCTTTACACTGAAATTTAGAAATTTTTACTCAAGTATCTTAAGTGACCTCATCATCTGAAGGAAAAAGAAAAGGGAAAGATGATATGAAAGAGGCTATAGACCATGTACAGCATAAATGTGAAGTGCATTAGAGGACAGTGACATCTGTCATTAAACTCAGAAAGCCTCAGATATTCATATGGTCCATCAGAGAGCATAAAAAGTCACTGAAGAATGTACGTCCTAAATTAAAATGTGCTATTGCCGAGTCCAGTCCTGCTGCTCAAACAAGGTGAGCTAGAGCAGATTGTTCAGGACATGCCTAATTGGCTTTTGAAAGTCTGCAGGGATGGAGACTCCACAGCTTCTCCTGACAGCTTGCTACACGGTTAAATCATGCTTACAGTAAAAAAAATTAAAAATCTTATATTTCAGTGGAAATTATTGTGTTTACATTCATTCCCGTTGCCTCCTGTCCTGTCACTGGGTACTGCTGAGAAGAGTCTGCCTCCACTTTTACTCCCCTGTCAGGTATTTATATACACTAGTGAGGTCTTCTGGCATCTTCTCTTCTCCGGGATGAATAGACTCAGTTCTTTCATCCTTTTGTCATCTTAAAGGTGCTCCAATCCCTTCATCATCTTTGGGGGGCTTTATGGGGCTGTTTTCTACTGTACTGGGATGCAGCATTCCTTATGCAGCCTGACCAGTGCTGAGTAGAGGGCAACGACCAGCTCCCTTGACCTGCTGCTGATATGCTTCTTAGTGCAGCCCAGGCTGCTGTCAGCTGCCTTTTCTGTGAGGATGTATTGCTGGCTCATGTTCAACTTGGTGCCCACCAGGACCTTGAGGGCCTTTCTGTCAAGCCTTGGTGGCCCTCAGTATGTAGTGGTGTCTAGGGTTTCTGGTTTTTCTCTTTGTTGAACTTAGTGAGGTTCCTCTGTGCCCATTTCTCCAGCCTTTCCAGGTCCCTCTGAGTGGCAGCACATCTAGCTTGTGTATCAGCCAGTCCTCCGACGTTTATACCACTAGTGAATGGCTTGCAGCTGAACTTTGTGTTGCTGATCGCTGTTCCCTGTTTAGCCCATATTAAATAAGTTTGTCTCTGAGAATGAAGTGGGAGACAGTGTTGAAAAACTTTCTGAAGTCGAGAGAAACAGCACCCATTCCGCTCCCCTCACCCTCCAAGCCAATCTCATCATAAAACGCTGTCAGGTTGGTTAAGCACAATTTCCCCTTCATAAATCTCTGCTGACTAGTCCCCCCCATCACCTTGGCTTTCATATGTTTGGAGATGGCTTTCAGGAGGATTTTCTCAATTGTTTTCCCAGGGAATGAAGTGAGTTTGACAAACTCGTCATTCCTCAGACCTTCCTTCCTGCCCTTTTTGAAGCTAGGACTGCCATTTACTTCCTTGCAATCTTTGGATTTCAAAGGTAAATTAAGAGTGGCCTTGCAGTGGCATTGGCCAGCTCCCTCAGCACCCATTGATGCATCTTGTCAGGCTAGTGGGTTTGTGTACACCCAGTTTGTTTAAATTTTCTCTAGCCTGATCCACTTCCTCTCAGCGTAAATCTTCACTTGAGGCTTTTCCACTGGTCTCTCACTGGCCTGAAGGCCAATCTTACCAGTAGAGACTGAAGTGGAGATGATGTTCGGTATCTCAACTTTCTCCGTGTCCTGTGTCACCAGGTCACCTGCCCCATTCAGAAGCAGTTTCACATTTCCTCAGGTCTTTCTTCTGTTGCTGATACACTTGGAGAAGCCTTTCTTCTTGTCCTTCACATCCTTTGCCAGATTCAATTCCGGGTGGTCTTTGGGTCTCCTAACCCATCTCTGCATACTCAGGCTGTGTCTCCATTTCCCCTGGGTCATCCATCCCTGCTTCCACCTCTTGTGTTTGCTTCCCTTCTTGTGTTTTGAGTTTAATCAGGAGCTCCTTGCACATCCGTGCAGGCCTCCAGGCTCATATTCCAGGAAACATTATAGCGTACCAATGTAACATTTGACACACAAATATTATGCCTCAGCATGTTCGATCATTTTTATTATTGTTTTTACTTCCTTTCCATAGTCTTTTCCTTTTCCAGGCTATAGCTATTGATTTTTGTGATTGGCATTACGTACAAGATCAGATGTTGAGCAGGAGCTAGCCTGATGGAACAGCAAAAGGCAAAGGAGCTTTTACTGTCAGGACAAAGTGGAAGAAAAGATGAAAGTCTGGAAAGAAAAATGAACAGTTAGTCTTAATGCCTGAAAAGAGAAGGAGGCTAAATGGAAACAAGGTTGATGAGTTGGTCTAGAAACAGATAGAGTTAAAGCTTTCAGGCTGGGGAAACTGTGAGACTGAACTTGCTGCGGAAGATAAGGAGAAAGCCAGCAAAAAGCTTCAAAATAGGAAGGTGAGGTTAAGAAGAGCCTGTAGAAGTGGAGAATGTCATAAACACAGAGATAATAAGTTGACAAGTGAGATCAGACAAGATCTGCATTGGGATGATAAAGGTAATTAACTGAAGTGCTTCACACTGATAGGCATTTGACGACTTCATCATTGCATAACGCTGAATTCGGTAGTAGTGCTTCACCTCCGTTTAGACTTCCATCCGCGGTGGCTGCAGAGTGGACCTGAGACTGTGCCCTGTGCAGACAGAGCGATGTCCTCCGTGGCGGCTACCACATGGATGCCGTACCTCAGCCTGCTTGGGCACAAGAAATGTCTCCAGATCCTCACTTTGCGCCACAAATTTCTTGTTATGTCTGAGTCTTGGGCCCTGGCGGATGAGCAGATCCTGTAGATCAGGGCGTGTAATCCAGAAATGTGCTGAAGGAGAGACGGGGAGGGCGTTGGGAAGCCTCACGCTACAGAGGTGCAACTGAGCCAGGAACAAGGAGTAGGCAGATGCACCCTGCAAAATGCCCTGCTGGCACGAGCTAATCTTGTGACCGTAAGCTGTAGCCGCTTTGTGCCTTGTCCTCTTGGTTTTTTTCACTTTCATTCCCTATTTCCACATGCTGATGTCAAGAGAGACATAATCTGTGTATCCTAAAAAGAGCTAAATACTAGCCTGTGTTTAAAAAACAGAAATAAAAAGTCCGATCTCTAAGTAAATCTTCCTTTCCTTTCTGAAGGTTTGTGAGAGTTATTTACACGATAAAACTTCGTAGTATATTATATGAGAAGATTTTTTTACAGAATGCCATCGTATCAGCCATAAGTATGATCTTATTATGAAAATATATAGAAATGTGTATGCCTATGTACTATGCCTAAATACTTTTTTTTAAAAAAATTAATAATGCTGGACTAGTGTCATAACTCATCCGTTACTGTTCACTTATGAACTAAGAGCAGTATTCTTACTCACAAAATTTAGAAAATATGTTTTAAATTCTAAAAAACTTTTTTCCCCCTCAATGTAATGTGGTAAGTTACAAGGAAAAAAATCCACAAAAATGACCCAGCTGTAGGGGAAAAAAAAGGAATTAATGATAAGTTAGTGTAACTAGACATATTATTTATTCTGCTTTGTATTGGAAAAGGAGAACCTGCCTCATTTTCAACCGCACATCTGTTGAATGACACACTTCTTTTAATTAAAAGACCCTCACCTTGCAAGCACTGATATTAATATCATTTGTAATGCATTACAACTTTCACTAGTGCTTTGTATTTGAAAATGTAGCCTTCCAAATTGATTTCTCCGCTTTAAAATGTGACTTAACTAACTTATCAGGAATTCTTATAGGCATATCCTTTAAACTTTCTGCATCTCTGTGAAGTGTTTATACGATGCTTAATAGTGTCTGCAAGCTGCTGTTTTACTCAACTTTCCTGAATTTCAAACATCTATATTTTACTCTCTTATATGCTTTTAACTAAGGTATAGTAGATGCATTTTTGCTTCGGTACTAATTCAAAATGTAATATTCATTTCTTTAGAAGACATTTTTGTTGTTGTGCATGCCTAGTGTTTTGTATGTTGTATATTGCATTCAGAATATTTTTTTCCTTCTCACCTATCCACAAATGCAATGCCGTTCCCATGATGCACCTCTGCTTGCTGTTTACCTGTATGTTAATTCGCTTGAATCCCATTGGCCCACTGCCATCATGTGCTCGCTGCCTGTTATTAAAAGACTCAGTCGACTGCCAAAGCAATGAAGCGACCTCTCGAAGCAACTGTAGACCTGGTACTTTGACCTTTCACCTTTTGCTTTGCATGTAGCTTTTTTTGGGTTTATTTTTATTTTCTTTTCAGAGAAGCAACTAATGAAATTTGTATCGCTTTACTTTTGAACATCAACTGGAAATGATTTCACATACTTGTTAATTTACCAGAAACTCTGTATTTATCCATCTCATTCTCATACGTAATAAACGCAGACGATTTAGTTTGGTTCCTAACATGGTTTCATTTTTTTAAATATCCTCTCATGAAAAGTCGAATTGAGATAAAACTGCTTCTGTAATTGAAAACGCTTAACGTAATCCATTAATCTGTATGATAATAGGAAACAATATTTAAATTTAAAAAGGAAAATACTTGGCAATGAAACACAAGTGGTTTTTTCTCCCTATAATATTTGAAAACCTATTTAAAGGCAATGCCATTTTCGTTGCTTTAAAGGCCTTTCTTTTCAGTAGTTGTGCTGCTACAGTTTTAGGTTGATAGTACCATGCTTTTGCTATCAATAACAATATTTCACTCATTTTACATTGCTGTGCTTTGAGTTAATATGCATGGCGAGGCATCTTTAGCCGCTTTAAAAAATAATCAGTTTTTGTATTTATGTATATGTTACGGACAATGTCTTTAAAAAAGCGACTCCGTTTTAACTAACTTTCTTATTTACAGGCCTTTCCTCCTGGTGTTCTTCACCCTTTACCAAAGAGACAAGCACTTGAAAAAAGCAATGGTGCCAGTGCCGTTTTCAATCCCAGTGTCTTGCACTATCAACAGGCTCTTGCCAATGCTCAGTTGCAGCAGCATGCAGCGTTTATCCCAACAGGTACGTTGTAACCACACCGAACCGATTTTGCCTTGCTTGGGTAGCCTCTGTGACAGGCAGTTTGCATTCCATGGAAGGGTCCATTACGCTACCTTGAGGTGAGGTCTGCACAGATATTTACACGGCATTTTAGTTCTTCCCGTAAAGTACGAGAGCTGCAGCAGAAGCATCAACGTGCCGCCAGGCTGCTTTTCACAACCACGGCCTCGTTCATCGCTCTGCAGTTTGCCCTTTTTTTTCCCTACCTCAAATTGGCTGCATCTTGACTCTTGCCTGCCTGGCGCTCTCCCAGCAGAAGAGAGGGCAAAGCTCCGCTGACAAAAAATGCTGGGAAAAGCGTTGTGCTTTGGCAACACTGCAGGAAGCGTGCAGTGGATGCGGCGCGCCCCTCTGCCTCCCTCAGGTGCCGTCTTGGTGCCGTGGGGCTCACCCCGGCCCCATACGAGTGGGATGAGTGAGGAGGGGAGCACCAGCCATGAACTTTGAGCTGGTAGCCGCAGGGAAGCGCTGCCGAAACATGCTGCTCCCCACAGCCGCACTAAAAGGGCTTTGGGACGTCGGGTGCCTTTTAGAATCACAGAATTGTCAGGATTGGAAGAGACCTTAGAGATCATCTAGTTCCAACCCCCTTGCCATGGGCAGGGACATCTCCCGCTAGATCAGGCTGCTCAGAGCCCCATCCAGCCTGGCCTTAAAAACTTCCAGGGATGGGGCTTCCACCCCCTCTCTGGGCAACCTGTGCCAGTGTCTCACCACCAAACGCCACCAGCACTTTTCTTAGCATTTGTGGCCAAGAGCCGGGGTTATAATTCTTCACAGGGGGTGATCTGGAATCAAGTGAACGTAATTTGTGTTTCACGTGCTCGGAACTCTGTAAAAATCAGAGCTTCTCCAAAACGCCACGAGGGAAAGAATGTGCTAGGTGCTTGTGGAAACAGTAGAAGCATTCTCCTCTAAATTATGGCAGTTGCCCCCACTCCAGACTTCCCGAAGGTAAACAGCCTGCCTAATGAATTACATGATTTCATTTGTAATTAACAAATCACAGATTTCAGGATCAGAACGCTATCGAGCATGGACTTCCAGAATCGTTTAAAACTATGTGTTTGCAAATACGCTTGGCATTTCAGCGATGTTATTTTAGTTTATAGAAATAATATCGGTTAAACAAGGAATGAAGCGCAACACACGATGATTTCCCAATCTATTGGCATTCCCATATGTTTTTTAAGATAAAAACAAACACAGATGGCTTTGACTTCATGGAATTTTGCTATAAGGCCTGAATAACAGCCTTGGAGCCTGCCCCTATATTTATAATAGTAAGTTATAGCATGCTATATTTTTAGCACATTGGTGCACTAGAATATCTGTGGCAGGAAACATACTGACATTTATGGGAGTGTTTGAAAAAGATAAATAAATTGTGAGACTGCCTATCTGGACATGAATGGAAGACCGCCCTGTGCTTACAAACAGAAGTTTCCAAAAATTTATTTTGCATAGTAACACTGAGAATTTGCGGTATGATATGCATTATTCCTTCTCTTAAGCACTCCTGTTCAGGGCTTATCTCTGTTATTTTGCAGTTGCCAAGGATATTAAATTAATTATGGAAAAATACAGTAGTTTAAACCTTTTTTTAGTCAGATAGCATTTGGATATTTTCCAGACTTTTGGAGTGCTCATGCTTCCTTAAGCAGCTCATTCTTTGTACTTTTTATTGTCCATCCCTCTTTCCAGCTAATGGTCGTAATTATAGTTTTATCTTACAAATTTCTAATGGTAGGAAGGGTGGATCTTGGAAGCAAACCTTAAGGGCCAGGTTGTTGGCAAGCCCCAAAACGAATGTGTGGGAAAATAAGAAATGGAGGGATAACGTAGCAGCAGATAGAGCCCAAGCCCAGAGCAGAAAATTTCTCTCAAAGCGCTGAACCTCCTGCTCTTTGCGAACACCATCGGCACCTGGAAAGGATGATAGAGAGAGGAGTTGGGTATGGGGGGAGCTTAGGAAAGGGGAACCCTCTCCATAAGAGTGGGTGTCATGAGCTTTTTGTTGAAGATGCTACATCTGATGTTCCTACTTTTCCTGGGAAGGTTGGATGGGGTGGGTGTAAGGACTGTCATGCTAGCCTGGCCTAAGGAGAAATGCATGACATTATCTGTTGGATTTTAAATGATTATGTGATATTTTCTGAACTGGTATAATTTTCAAATGTGTTCCTTGTGTGTGTGTGTGTGTGTTAAGTTAAATTTTAAGACAAGTTTTGCTGCTGGAATATATATAAAACGTAATTGTTTTATATAACTTCTCTGCTTTCTTAACCACTTGCTCCCCTAATAAAAAGTGTGGGGCTTGACTTAGCATGGCTTTCCTCCAAAGTTCTGCACTGTGTTTGTTCTACATCAGTTTAACTGCTTTGTCGCCTTCTCCTTATTGTTTGGTGAATGATCTTAAAAACAACAGATCTTTTCTCTCTTCCCATTGCTCTTTGTTAGTGTTTCTATAGCCTCCAGAGGAGGAACTTTGTGTATTCTCCGAGGACTGTTCTTGGGTAAGGTCATTCATAGGTGCAGTGGTGCTGTGATGCTCCAAAGAGGGGATGCAGCAGTAATTGAGCAGGAACGTGGGAAGCGTATTTGAGTTTGTATCAAATATGCGTGTACCTGGGACTGGTCTCCTTACCTGCTCGCCTTCACCAGGTTGCTGTATGCACCGTATTGAAAATATGCTGTTCTTTTCTTTTTCGTTTGGTCTTCCCAGAAGGGGGTAAAAATGGGCTAGGCACCAAAACTAAACTGCAGGGTGGGTGAGAGACTCTTCCAGAGCATCTTCGAGGTGTGTTGGGAGCCTTTTGCTGGAACGTAACACACTTTGAGGTGCTTAGCTTGGGAAATTGTTGCAGGAGTGTTTTCTTTGGTCAGAAGCACCTGTACACCTCTGGTATTAAGAATGAGTACATTAATATCAAATGGAAATTTGGCAAATCCCCTGCAGAACAGTATCGGCAAATCACAGAATCCCATTTTAATTTCTTTCTTGGTGAATGTTGGCTTGTGCGACGGTGAGCTGTCTGATTTACGTAGTGAGTTCCAAAATTCCCAAATACTGAAACACTTAACCAAAGTTTTATGAACAAAACCCTGTTGCTGCAAAAGCACTATGTGAAAAGATAAAAGCACTAAATTAAAAAAGTTCATGAAGTATCTTGTATGTGCACAGAAACATGCCAAAAGTTACCCAGTGTAACCAGGAGTTTAGTAAGAACGGAATCACCTTTTTGGTGTTGAAGCAAAACTATGAATGACCTTACAGTTTCATTTAACTAACTTACTTCTCTGTGGTTATGCTTGAATCTCACTTTGAATGTTAACTCTAAACGGCTAACCTGTTTCTTCCCTTTATCCACTTTTTTCACCTATCATTGCATGACACGCAGGGTCAGTTTTGTGCATGACACCCGCTACCAGTATTGGTAGGTTCCAAATTTCTTTATTGATCTCTTTTTGTACTGTATATGATGTATACGCACTTGTTTCAAAAATCCTAGGCAAGATTTAGACACTGGCTAGAATTAAAGGTTCGCTTGTCCTTCTGGTTGACTTTGCAGAGCATTTAGATTTGTAGATGAAAGCTGCAGTTTAGATGTGATATCACCTGCTATAACAACTGCACTGCAAAAGCATAATACCACGGATTCCAGCCTGCTTTTCAGTTTTCAGAGTTTTATTTCTCTTTCTATTTTATATTGTCTAGTTCTATAAAATCATAAATTATTGGGAAAAGCCAGCAAATTTCATCAGTGTTTTAAAGTTTCATAGTGGTGTGCCTATTTCTCCTTTTTGCTGTGTGTTAGAAAGTTTTATCGGCGTTTCCCAGAAATGACTACTTTGATCCACAGAGGTTCTGTTGAAACCCATGATCTGAATCTTGCTCCTTCTTTAAATATAATTGCAGCTTGGAATTAACATTTTGGACATGCAAAATGGAAGTCCAGTGAAGCAGCCTCTAAGATGGAAAAGTAACCTTTCTTCTATTCTGTAGCGCTATTCCGGTGATTTTTTTTTGTGGACTACTCAGATAAGCAGTTAAAATATCAAGCCTTTAAGACATCAAGTTAATAGTTCTCCCATGAAGATGCTGATTAAAATTCATTTTCAAAATGAGCAAAAGCAGCGACTTTAACAAAATCGATCTTGTTTTTTTAGATCAAACAAAGTAGTATTTAAATCAGGAAAATTATTATCATCCTTCTCCTGATTTTTGCCTTAGAGCAGATGGTAATTTAACTCTGATAAATTCTAACAGTTATGCAGTGCTAGTAGGAAAAATGCATAAATTGGATTATAAAGGAAGACAGGGAGTATCTGGCTTACTTCAAAATTAAGATACATGAAAATAATTAATTTTTTAATTGTTTTTAAAAATTAAGTTAAACATTTATCAGTTTCCTCCCCAGTACAAGCCACTCTGTTTTTATTTTTTTAATAGAATTTTATTTTGGAGCGCTTTATATTGATACTGAGGGAAAACAAATTGCCCGTGTAGCAATTCTCAGGTAATGGGCTATTTTGGTAGAGACCTCGTTTGCGCACCTAGTCCTATTCTTAGAGATAACGCCTGTGTTTTCAGTGGTCCTCGCTCTTTTTTCTGGGAATCGCCGATTGTGTTGACAACCTTCCTTTAATTGTACTTGTAATAAGCTATTTTCCCTTTTTTTTTCTTTTTTTTTTCCCCTATTTATTTCTCCGCCACGCTTTCTCGCTTTGCACTGTGATTGCATGCCATCTGCCGGTTTAACCCATGACGATGGCTTGCCGCTCTTGATATTCACCATGCCAAAAATACCACTTCTCTTACCATAATGCTGCACCCTCCTGTTCATTGCTTCCATGGTTCCCCTCCTGAAAGTACCCATGATGCACAACGCTACGGCCGCCACTGTCTCTGCAGCAACAACTCCTGCAACAAGTGTTCCCTTCGCCGCAACAGCCACAGCAAATCAGGTTTGCTCCTTTTAAAGCTTTCTTTCACAAGACCCCGAACTCTAAATGAGTGCTGAGATTTTTATTTTGATTTTTTTTTTTAACAAAAAAAATTCTCCCGGAGAATTTTTTTTTTTTCTGTGTTTACCCCATCAAATTTTACTTTTATTTTTAAGTCGTTTATAGCAAGTGTTTTGTGGGACAGGTTGCACTTATTTAGAGTTAACATTTGTTGCAAATAACGATGTAGCTGTGTTTTGTGTTGCGATGTTTGTACCTAATTATTGTGTAATTAACCCAGCTGGAGTTAGAATCACCATAGTACTGGACTACTTACACAAGTCTATTATTAACTCCTAAGTTCAAAAGGAAGATCATCACAGGTTTCAAGCATTCAGTTGTGTTACGGAGCCTTCTCCATGCGGTGTGTGGAAGCGACTAATTTATAAGCGTGGAAGCTGTCTAAAATCACAAGTGGGACAAGGCAGCTGAAAAAAAAAAAAGAGGGAAGCAAAGTAGAATGTTTCATGTAAAATAAATGCCAGTGATCAAAAAAAGTGCTCAAGCTATTTACGACTGTGCCTGCTTTATGTTTGAAAGTGTATCTTTAACCTGGGAGTTATATTTCCCTAAGGAAGGACATTGTTACGAAGAACCCCTGGGGTTATTGGCAGAGGCAGACTAGGAAAGATGATACTTTCTCCTTTTCTTCTGCAGTTTGTTGTGCTAACAGCAGCTTTCCTTGTGGTAGGGTTTCCCCTTCCTCCTGTAGGACCCAGCTCCCAGGGAACACGTATCCGTTGTGGCTCAGAGCACACAGATTCAACTCCTCTGTTGGGGCTGTAGAGATTCCCAACCCAATGCGTCCCAACATCTGCCAAGAGAGGGGTTTGCGCAGTAGCCGTGTCTCTCTGGCTTTTCTGTCGCTTTAGGACCATGCTGAGGAACTTCCACCCGAGAGCTGGGGAGGAATCAAGCAGATTTGCTCACCAAGAGAAAGGGAAAGGGCTACATCCCCGCGACCTTTCCTTGCATTGCTCCTGGTCACACTGACAAGCTGTTGCAGACCTAATAGAATCTCATTCCCTTCCACCTGCCAAGCAATTACAAAGAAATCAGTTAAAATATTTTGCTTAATAATGTTATACCAGCAGATTTTTATCTTTCTTTTTTACTGTCAATCCCCAAAACTGTTTCAGTATTCCATGGAAAAATAGAAGTTGCTGCAAGAGTTTATTTATAGTAATCCAGGAAAAATATACTACCTCTGAAATACACCCTACTTTTTCAAAGAAACACATACCAGTCCGTTTTGTCTATTTTTATTATTTTTTTAACGACTCATTTGCCAATGTGGTGGTGTTTGTGCTTCTAGCATTTTCATCAAAAGAAGGTTGTTGTTTTGTGCGTTCTTTTCCAAGGGCTCGCTTTTTTTAATGAAAAAAATGCTTGGGACTTGGAAGAAAGTGCAGCAAGCAGAAGGTGCGTTTCACTGTCCTTCCCAGAAGAGCATCTGCAGCAGAAAATTATCTGGTGGTACCCTGTGTAGTTTTGTGACAGAGGGACTTGAAGAAAGACTGTGAGAAAATGAGGAGGTTTGAGGAGGGGGTCAGCTGGGGACCCTCTCCAGCACGGGAATGCAGCCAGGGCAGCTCCACCACCTGCATTCCTGAGCACCAGAGGCGCCAACAGTGGCCAAAGTAGAATAAATACATACACTTACCAAAGGACCAGTAAGAAGTCTCGTCTCTTAGTTGATGGGAATACTTTCACACAAGTAGCTCGTGCCACCGTGGAGACACAGGTGGGCATTAATGCCCTTTTTCATCTAGCAGCGCTTCCTTTCCCAGTGCTGATCTCGTTAACAGCACCAAAAATCTATCAGGAGTTGTAAAAAGCACCTGTCACTGTTGATTCAGTTGCATGTATTTGTGTGTGTGTATGCATACAACTCAGTGCTGAAACTAAGGGGTGCTTTTACATGGGGATGGGTTTCCCCTTGATTAGCTTGAGTCTTCTGGAAGTTCGGCACCCAATTTGTCTGCTTTTCTAGATGTCCAGGTTAAGGCAAAGGAAATTGCCCTGGAGGGTTATGCCTCTTTATCTTGCCCGTGGAAGGGGTACAGGTCCGTCACCAGAGCTCTGCACCACTGCACGTGCAGGAGGGGAGTCCCACCCCAGCAGCTCCTCTTGTTGACTTCTGTAATGAGTGCCACTGCTGTCTTTTTGCTCTCATTCTTGTCTTTCTTTTAGTCATTGCAGATCTTTAAAAGCTACTGTAAAAACCTATGTATTTGTGGGAAAGTAGTAGTAGTTCTTGTTTGGAAGAGGCAAATGTCGAAGGGTGCTGTTTATTTACAACTTCAAGGGTTGGAGACAAAGCTACAACACTGAGGAAGGCCCCACACTCCTTACTCTCAGGTTTTCTTTAGCCCAACACAGAAGGAGCAAGTAATTAACTTGGGTTAAGACTCTGTTCATGGTCATAATGTCCTTTGTTTGTGTCCTCTTGTATGGATGTAAACTCTCCTGTGTATTTCAGAAAAGAACTTTCGTACTCTTATCTAGATTAAATTTCCTTCCCTGGCCTGTGTCACACCGCTCTACATATCTGTGGGATATGGTTTCCTCTTTCTAGTGCCTCTACCACACTTTTTAAATCAACACGCAGCCTTCAGCCTGTCCCATTTAAGCTCCCACAGCTTCTGCTCACAATGCCAGGCGTGAAAAGAAGGTTGTAGCAGGGCTACAGTTATCATTTGGCTTAGAATTCTTGCCAGGGGAAAGATTTCTTGACTTCCTTGGGTGGAGTGTGATGATCCCAGTGTCCTTGAAGCACCAGTGGAACGAAAAGTCATCCCAAAAGTTACAGAATATCAGCTGACGGCTGAAAACTAAAACAATGCCATTGGGTCCAGTAAATTATTTAGTATGTGCTCTCAGCTTGTATATTGAAAAAAGATGAAGTGTCTTCTGTATGTCCTTTCTTTCTGAAAACAACGTGAGTGACAGCTCAAAACGTGCCTGCATTGACACACGCACAGTCGGTCACGCTTGGCCAGCAGCTCTACACGTTGTGGGTTCAGTGTATGGCAGGAGGCACGTGAGGGGATTCTGTAGGGTTAAAGGCTGTATTGTAGTACATCCCTGCAGAGTGACACCAGTTAAGCATAGGTGGGAAACTGGAAGCCTCTTGCTTTCTCTGACTTAGGGAAGTTAGGGTTTAAAAACAAAATGCTTTTCTTGCAGTGTCCTTCAAAGCAGAGGAGGGGGGGATCACTTTGGCTCAGCGCAGTGAAAACAGGACGGAGCGAAAGTGCTTTAGCAAACCCTGTTTTAAAAATCTGGATGAAAAACTGACTCGGTTGCTACCAGAGCTGATGGTGTTGCTGTTCATTTCATGTAGACACCTTGTGAGGGGGCGTCCCCACTTACTCTGTCTGCCAGGCTCTGATGAGAGAGGATGAAGGTGGGGACCTCAGCTTAGAATTTCCAGTGAAAGGCAGGTGGACTTCCAAAGGTATGTGAGGAGTCCCGAAGCATTACACAGCAGAGGTGAGAGGTCCTTCCCCTTTTCTTCTTCTTCTTTTCATGGCTGCTCCAGCCATGCCCACCAGAGTGGGGCTGGAAGCCACAGCAGCTTAACCTCACATCTGGATTAGATGGATTAGATACTTAATGAACTTACATTCAGCTGTTATTTGGGGACGCTGTCAATGTTTTCTTGGAGGATGGAACCAGCAAAGTTCCAAGTCCTGTGGAACGACAGTGACAAGCGGCGTTAGGGCATGTGTACGGAGGGTTTGGTCCTAGCTCCCTCTAGTGCATGCATTTGAGCAGAGGCACGTAAAACATCTTATTTAAAATATTAATATGGTAATGATGTGTAAATATATACTTCATAGATCTGTAACAAAAGTTTTAATTATTATTCTTGTAGCTGGTGGACTAGCAGTACTCGAGCAAGCAAGGAAGTTTAAGTACCCATTGTAGACTTTGAAGGTTATCGGCACAGTCAGATGAACTCTGGAGAATAGCCTGGCTCACCCTTCAGAAGTCACGCAGGGCTTGGTTCAGTTGCCTAAACATGTGTTTTCTGACGTTTAAGATTGTCCTAAGATAACCTTGAATGTCTAGGTTATCCAGGACATTTTGATGAGCTTGGCAGATGCAGTACAGGACCTACAGTCAAATCTGCATTCTTTGGAACTGGCAGCTGGATGACAGGCAGGAGACTTTAACCCCAAGTAGTACTAAAAATTTGAGCAAAAGACCGGAGCCTGCAGTGGCTGATCATATGAAGTGATTTCCAGGCTCTGTTGGCTTGCTGACTAGGTTGTATCACCCCATTGACTGCAGCAGGAGGTTAAGACACCAGCATTTCTGTGTCTTAATCTGTGGCCTCAAGCTCAGTGGGTGCTTCCTTACTTCCTGGTTATCACAGGACAATTACCAAATTCCAGATGATTTTAAAGAAAATAGTCTTGCTTGCATCACTTCAGTACAGAACAGTATCTGGCTTATTTTCTGTAGCAATGAAAATCAGCCAAAGTCCGTCAGTATAAAAATAGCATTGCAGAGAATACCACTTAAAGATGTTACTTAGTGACAATATTATTCTACTGGTTATATGACCTTTAACAAAGAAGAAGAAATTAAAAAGCAGATCTAGTAGAAAAATTAAATACTCATAGGCTATGTCTGGAAAGGAATATAAGATCAACAGGCTGTCTCGTGCTAAGGCCTGTGATTATCTAGCACAGCTGTTGTAAATTATGCACTGGCATTCGCACTAAATTAGGTGGCAGTTATGTAGATATCAATTATGGAATCATTCAGTAGCCTTCAGTAGTGTCAAAATCTGTAAAACTACAATGAAGCGAAAATAAAAAATAGTTATGTTACATTCAAGTGCCACAAACAAAAGGACAATTACAATATTTGCCCCAGAATTCAAAAAGGAGTTAACGTAGCATAAAATGCAAACATGCTGAATGTTTAACAAGGATTTGGGGTGTCAT